AACGAATCTAATATGTCCTAAGATCTCTGCTTTCAAGGGCTCTAACAGTTTCCACAACTGAATCTTTGTTACACAGCTTTCCTCCAAAAGCAGTTTCTTCTCGTCTGCATATCAGAACCGAAGGAATTCAGAATGCAAATGGTAAATAATTGCAGACGGTGAAGCTGCCCGTGTATATATCAGATACCTGTCACAAGGGATAGCAGCCTAGGTTGTAAGCAAGGACACTTGTTTTTACACTTGGATTCATCCTGGTGCTCACACCAGTCCTGTGAGTAGGGACAAACCATCCACTTAATTAAGGCAGTATCATGTTAATACTAGAGTAAAGGGACAAGAAGAATAAGACTGCAAGTTGTCACCACTCACTCCAAAAACATGCCTGGGCTCTGACACTGTTCAGTTTACTTGTGTAGACAGAGCCCAAGTCTTCACTCCCTTCCAAACCACATGCTGACTCATCTCTGCTAGGGGAAATTGTGATGGCGTCCAGTCACAGAGGATGTCCCAGCAGCTGATATTGGGTGCACTTGGGCCCTGCTCGATGCACTGGCTCCCTGTTGAAACCCAGGAATAAAAGTCTGTCCCCGGCCCCAGGAGAAGTGGGGAGGCACTGGTGAGGCCGCACCTTGAATACTGTGTTCAGTTTTGGGCCCCTCACTATGGGAAAGACGTTGCATTGCTGGAACATGTCCAGAGGAGAGCAATGAAGCTGGTGAGGGGTATGGAGCACAAGTCCTATGAGGAGCCACTGAGGGAACTGGGGTTGTTCAGCCTGGATAAAAGGAGGCTGAGGGGAGACCTTATCACCTGAAAGGAGGTTGCAGTGAGGTGGGTGTAGGTCTCAAGTAATGGGCGATAGGACAAGTTGTATGCCAGGGCAGGTTCAGATTGGACATTAGGAAAAATTTCTTCACCGAAAGGGTTGTCGAGCACTGGAAGGGGCTGCCCAGGGAAGCAGTTGAGTCCCCATCCCTGGAGGTATTTAAAAGCTGGGCAGACGAGGCGCTTAGGGACATGGTTTAGTGGTGGGATGGCAGTGTTAGGTTAACGGTTGGATGTGATGAACTTAAAGGTCTTTTCCAACCTGAATGATTCTATGTTTCTAAGGAGATGGAGCTGCTCTCCTCCAGGGAAGAGGAAATCCCTGTCCAGTCCATGTCCAGGACATCAGGGCCTTGCTGGGATCTGCTGGTTGCTGCTTCACATCCTGCTGGTTCTGGGGCCTTCTAGAAGGAGGCTATTGGGCTTGCCAGTGCTGCTGGTGGCTTGGTCGAGGGATTTCTTCTCCCTTCATCAGGAAGCTCTTTTTGCCCTGCTCTCATGCATCTTCAGAGCCTGCTGGCAGCAAAATATGGTGATTGGGAAAGACGACAGGGACTGGCCCTGCTGCCTTTGAATGATGTTACTTTAAGCTGCCCCTCAGCTAGACCCAAGCCCCACTAGCTCCTCAACCTGAGAGTAACAGATTTTGAGCATCTCATTGGTGCAGAAAAAGCACCTCAAGGGTATAGATGCAGTCGCTGTCTACAAACACCCCAGTTTCTGCACTCCTTTTCTGGGAAACTGCACACACAGTCCATTTTCCTTGGGATCTGAAGATTGCTAGTGCCAATATTCCCAAAAGGTGCCCAAAAGAAGAACCCCAAAAGAACCTATTCAGAGTCTGCTCACTTCCTTGCTCTTCTTCAGTTCCCAATCAAAGTGCTTTGTTTTACTACTCATTGGGCTTTGTACGGGGTATGCTGGGATGCTCTGTTACCTGCAACGAATGCTCCAAATATCCCCTAAACACTGCTTGACTTGATTTCATAGATAGTTTCCAGGATCTTTGTAGCTCAGCATTACTGCTCGCTCCTTCATTTCCTAGGAGCCTATGACTCCAGGATACAGGATTTCTCTCCATGAATAGGAAAATCCATGTTGGGCATCTGCTGCGGCTTGCAACTGGGCACTTGGTTACTTGCTAGCAAAAGGGGAAGTTTATTATGGGCAAAACATGATCAGTGTTGGATAAAGCTCTGGATAGAGCAGCAAAATCACCAGCAGTTGTTGCTGGGCCAACTGCTTATTTCACTGTTGTTGGGGAAAAATCATCTCACAAAACCTAGGACAGCCTCAGAGACCATCTTGGTCTTTCCTGTGTTGGCTTCCAGGCTGAGTTAACTCAGCCATTTTTAATGTAGGGTCGCAGTTCCTATCTGGCTTCTCCTGCTTCTGAGTTGATCCAGGAAAGCAGCATGGGAATGGATAAAAGACATCATGGCCACAGCTGAAGTGCAGTTTTCTGGAGTTTAAATAAAAGTAATCATCATGGTGTGAATCGTTTCCCAAGTGCAAATGCTGCACTCGGGGCTGCAAGCTCAGGAAAAGTCAGCTGCTAAGCACTACAGTTTTAGGTAGCTCCTCTCTCCAGTGTGTCTGCACTGCAATTAACTCATAGACTTTCTGTGTTCAGTCACTATAGGATGTAGCTGACAGCCTCTCTTGGCTCTCTTAAACATCATGTCTGATAAAGGCAGCTCTTCCACAGTCATTGGAGAAGAATATTTAAAGCATGAGTTTCCAAGGCACTTAAAATCTATATTTAGACTCCTTAAATAGACCTGTACTGAAGTTGCCCAGAAGCATTGCCTAATTGTAGTTTCTAACCTGAGACCTTCTTTGATCTGTACCTCTGAATACCAGGTCAGCTCTAGCAAGGCCCCCTAACTCTCTCCCCCAGGAGGAGGACTATAATAACCCTGACCTGCCATTTGGAATTTCTCTAGATAACTGTTTTTTGGAAACTGTAGATCAGATTTTTTTATACTTAAGTGTTGTATGAAGGAGAAAATTTGCTTTGTGTGCAAATACAAACAGTAGCTGAAGCGTTGGGGATTTTTGCGTATGGCCAAAGCATGTGTAGGTCTTTGTTTCCTGTTCAAACTTGAGTTTAGGGCATTCATTTTCCTAAAAGCAAAGAACCGTGTTTCAAGTTGTCCTTTGCTTAACTTGTACCACTTGCATGAGAAGTGGGAATTCCGTTGTGGGATGGCAAATCCCTTTCCCTCTAATCTCCACCCTCAGGCTTTCAGTGCAGAACATCAGTCTTGCTTGTGTGCCCCAGGGTGTTTAAATAAAAGTGAAGCCTTGGTCCCAAGTTAATTTCTCAGTTTCTGGCACAGTTAGTTTCGTAGCTGTTTCTCTTTCATGAACTGTCATGGCTTTTGTAACACTGGCAAGGACCTTGCCATTGAAGATTCACCCAAAGATGGTCCTTCAGTGCCAGGCAGCTTGGCATCACATCCTTTCCTCTTTCACATACAGTCAAGATCCACACTTAGCTAAACTGGGAGGTGTGGTGCAACCTCAGAGGGGAAATGTCTGCAGAGATAAGGTGTAGTGGGACTGTGCTGTCTCCAGGGACTTGTACTTTACAGTTTATGGAAAACCTATTCTAACTCAGTGGCAGTGGATGGTTCTGGAGCAGGTCAATGTTGCACAAGCTACTTCCAGAGTGGGTTAGACCAAGTGGCTGTCCAAAGGCAAATTTCGGTTGGAATAACGTGCGAAGGTCTGATTTTCAAGTTTCCACTGGCCATGCAGTTGAAAGAGATTCTGGATTTTCAAATGTTTCTTAATCTCTGTGTTGTAGTTCTAATATATTTATAGCTTCAAGAAAAAGAAATTGCTTTCAAATTAAGTAATACATTTGATTGATGATTTTTTATTGTCTTCAGTCATCACCACCTGCCCACACCATGCCTGTAACTTTAGGGAACAGTTTCCCATCCTGGTTCATCCCAAAGTCCCAGGAACAGGTTCATCATTGGTAAACATAGGTCTGATTCCCCAGTAACCAAATGGGGCTGTACCACCTGATGGCAGTATTTGCTATTGGCCTCAAATCTAAATCTTCGTGATTACGTCTATCATATTTTACACTAAGTTTTTTTTAACATTTGTGTGTGATATAAATACTTTGCAGGCTCTCTCATAGCACCCTGCTTAAGACAGGAGTCCTGCCTTTAAAGGTATAGAACTGATTCCACAGAAAGGAAAGAACTGATTCCACAAAGGTAGTATTAGAGCAATAATTTATGCAACACCTTCATCCTGACTAGCACATGGTGGTTTATATTCACTTCAGAGTTGACTCTCTGAGCCCTCCAAGTGTGATTCTCCTCTGAGAGGAGACCCAAACATACAGAGTTCACACAAGAGACTCCTTGCATACTCCACATTACTATGCATTAAATAAATGCATTCATCTCTGTGGTAGGTGGCAGCAACAATCTCTGTTTTACCACATTACATAATAAGGGAAGGACAATTACAGTTAAGGATAGAAAGATCCCTTTTCTTCAAAAAAGAGCCACATGGAGCTTTCAGTACGTTCCATCTGAAAGAAGAACACACAGGAATCATCACAGCCTTCATTTTATCTAAGTCAAAAGCGAAGATCTGAAACGGACCTTCTCCATTGTGAATCTTTGGTTCCAGAAAGTCTTAAATAGAAAATGGAGAGCACTATACCCTATGGCTTTTCCAGACTCTAATACGAGGGCAGGAGAGAAGCTATGAGGTACTTGTGTATCTACACAGGCCTTTGGAATCATTCAGAGGGTTGATAGGGGAAATACTATAGCCACTGGACCACAGCTGTGTATAGCACTGCAACTCATGGCTCAGTACTGCATAGTGTTAAGCACCCTCTTCGAGGCTGAGAATTCTTCACTCCCAATGTCTTTTCTGGCACTTGAAGGCCTTCAAATCATTCCAAGTTTGAAACACCTTGTTGTGTCTTCTGGGATTGGCAGCCCCTATAAAATTCTGCCTAGCAGAGCTTCCCTGCCTTACATGTTAACCAGAAATGATTATTCCAGAAGAATGCACCAAGGCACAGTTCAGTCAAAGCGAAGCAGTCCACTTCTTGATGACTCACAGCTGCTTTTTGTGTGTGTCTTGGAAAGGGCAGAGGTCCTTTCAGAGTTACATGACTTTGCATTTGCAGTGCCTCAGTTAAGCAAAGAATATGACTTGGAAGTGTTTTCAGTGGAAGAGGTGGATGGCTCTGAAGAAGACACTCTGTATTTTCCTGCAAAACAAAGCATGGTGGTTAGACATAATGACAGATAGCCTGGGACATGTGGCACTGCAAAGTAAGGACAGTTAGACCTGTCCTGATGACCCAGGTGGCTTTGACTTGGCCTGCAGCCCTGATACTAGCTGGATTACAGCAATACCAGCAACCACAGAAGTAAATGTGTTTGGTGACACAGCCAGGATACGTCAGCTTGAACTGCTGATCATGCCATAGGGTAGTAATTAAGGGACTTACTGGTCTTCCTTGAGCATGGGGATGCATCTAGAACACGTGCGCTTGAGATGAATCCCAGCTCCATCCCTCTTGTGACCACGAGGCTCTAAACTAAGACCCAGGTGCACAGAGCCCAAGAGCAGAGTGTGGAAGAGTGCGCTAGTAACATGGGAGTTTCAGGTGGCAGCAGCGTGGAAGTCAGTTGTGGGCAATTCTCATTCTTGTGGTGGGAGGCTTCTGTATCTGGCTAGTGTACTCATGTAAACTTGCTGTAGCACAGCCAGACACCAACTTCTTGTTCCATTATCTGACTAATAAATGGACTCGTTAAAGTTGCTTGCCTACTAAACTCCTTCATACCCCACTTCGACCAAACGTCACCATCTTCTCTGAGCAATGGTTGGATGCAAAGATTACACATTTAGGAATGAAATTACTCATATTTTCAGCAATGCTTCTTGCAAAATAAAGTCATAACTGAAATGGTGACATCCATAAAATGACTGCCAGAGAACCTTTGAAGAGATAGAACTCCAAGGTGGTAAAGAGTACATGAACAGTAAATGAACTGAGGAACACTGTGTCATGATATTATTAAGCTCAAAACAAAGCTCAGTTAGTAGGTTTTAGAACTGGTGAAACATGCCACCATTTGATACTTGTTTTAGTGTTAGCCAATTATGCTGCTAGTGTTATGCTACAATCATAGAATCATAGAATTTTTTAGGTTGGAAAAGACCTTTAAGATCACCAAGTCCAACCGTTAACCTAACCCATGTCCCTAAGCACCTCATCTACCCAGCTTTTAAATCCCTCCAGGGATGGGGACTCCACCACTTCCCTGGGCAGCCTGTTGCAATGCTTAACAATCCTTTCAGTGAAAAAATTTTTCCTAATGTCCAACCTAGACCTGCCCTGGCACAACTTGAGGCTGTTTACCCTCATCCTATCGCCCATTACTTGCGAGAAGAGACCAACACCCACCTTGCTACAACCTCCTGTCAGGTAGTTGTAGAAGGCAATAAGGTCTCCCCTCAGCCTCTTCTCCATGCTGAGCACCCCCAGCTCCCTCAGCCTCTCCTCACAGGACTTGTGCTCCAGACCCCTCACCAGCTTCCTTGCCCTTCTCTGGATATGCTCCATCACCCCAATGTCCTTCTTGTAGTGAGGGGCCCAAAACTGAACACAGTATTCGAGGTGTGGCCTCACTAATGCCGAGTATGTGGGTATGGGGAGTATGAATATGGGTAAGGGTGACTTCCCTGGTCCTGCTGGCCACGCTATTCCTGATACAAGCCAGGATGCTATTGGCCTTCTTGGCCACCTGGGCACACTGCCGGCTCATATTCAGCCGCCTGTGGACCAACATTCCCAGGTCCTTTTCCACTGGGCAGCTTTCCAGCCACTCTTCCCCCATTGCATGGGGTTGTTGTGACCAAAGTGCAGGACCCGACACTTGGCCTTGTTAAACCTCATACAATTGGCCTTGGCCCATCGATTCTGCCTGTCCAGGTCCCTCTGTAGAGCCTTCCTACCCTCAAGCAGATCGACACTTCCACCCAGCTTAGTGTCATCTGCAAACTTGCTGAGGGTGCACTCTATCCCCTCATCCAGATCTTTGATAAAGATATTAAATAAGACCAATGACTTATTACAGTTCCTTTGTACTAGAAGATGAAATACCATCTACAGATGGATGGATAGACAAATAGGTTGATAGATACCAGGATAGACAGACCCTGAGAGTGAAAACACAGGCAAAACCTCATTTGCGCTTCAGTAGGAGAGATCTATTTTCACATACCTGTTTTCCCACATAAGTTGTTAAACGTTCTTGAAAATGGATAGCTCATAGCAAGCATTGGTGTCACCAGGATCAGGGAGGATGACTGTAAGAGAGAAAATTGCTTTTTGTCAAAAGCCTAGAACTTTCTTTGTAGCCACATTGAGGGGAAAAAGAAGGTTACAATAAAATGTTGTTCAGTAGTACAAGCAGGCAATCCACATAGGGACAAGTTAGATGTTTGCAAGGCATCACGTTCACTCATTTGCATGTTTATGATGGTGATGAAGGAGATCAACTTCAAAAGAAACTACAGGACAGAACCCACCTGTTTAACTGTTGGCTAGGGAAGATGGCTTAGGCTCCAGAGTCTGTCATATCAGACAGTACCGAGTTCTGGTCCCCTATCTGAAGGTCCCCTAATATATCCATTAAGGTAGACAGAAAAGCTAAGATTTATATGCTAGTGGATGGTTGTTGAAGGCCTGAGGTAATCAGACCTGAGGTAATCAGAGGCAAATTTAACTTGACACACTAGAGGGCATTGGAACACAACTCTACAGTCCAGATGGGAAAGAAGAAAATTTTTGCTACTGAAATTAAGTTTCCTTTTTGGTTCTGGAATGGTTTGAGAATTTAATGGTATTCTTCCAAAAGATGCTTAATGATCATTGTGTCAGTTATTCCTGCCTTCATTCCAGTTTCCTAGGAAAAAGTTTTTTCCAACAGTCAGAATAGCAGCATGTCAAACAGATGTCATTTTCAAGCCAGAAAAACAGAATGACACTTTAAAAATGTGCTAGGAAATGTTCCCAGACCTAGATTCCCGGTAATAATCCTCCTGCAGAACATGCTGGAATACTTGGAGTACCAGTTTAAAAAATTCAGGCGGATGATTCTGGGGATCCTAAATGAAGAAACGTGAGGCAGAAACTGCATCTTTCCTGTCTTGTCCTGACACAAGATCTGAGCGTGGCAGATGGTTGAAGCACTTAAAACATACAGCACGGCTCTGCCTGGCTAATCACAGCTGCCTCCTCCCGGGCGTTCAGCACATCGCTGGTGGGTCCGTGCAGAGCTGTCAGTACTGGGTCCATTACTGTTTTAATATCTTCATTAATGATATAGATGATGGGAAAAGTGCACCCCCACGAAGTCTGCAGATGATACAAAACTGGAAGGAGTGGCTCATAGATCAGATGAGTCTGCTGTCATTCAGAAGGACCTCAATAGGCTGGAAGATGGGATGACAGGAATCTTAGGTAGTTCAGCAAAGGGAAAAGTGAAGTCATCCTGTCCCTGGGAAGGAACAAGCCCATGCACCAGCATATGCTGTAGCCACACCATGTCTTCAACCAGCAGAGTTCGTTGTGAGGAGAATATTAGCCCATAGCCTCAGATCTTAGCCCACTCGTAGGGCTCTAAGGCACGTCCTGGGTCACTGAGGCTGTGAGCCCTCTGTGTGGTCGGCCTCTCCTATATTCTGCTTTACAGATTTCCCAGGCCTCATTGTAAAAGCAGTTCAAGCTGGGGTTTTACACCTTTGTTCACACGGAGACACCATTCCCCCAGCCTTTTTAATGAGTCCTGGTTGCCTGACGCCAGAAGCAGATTTGCACTTGGGTGGCCCCAAGGGTCCTCTAGCCCAGTCACTTCTTAGCCAAAGAGGGCTACAGCAGAGGCCCCAGGGAAGAGTTTTACAAAAGCAAAGGAAGTTTGCAGCAGCAGACCTCCAGAATGTTCTTTCCACCTCTGGCTGTCAGAAGTACAGGGAATTGTGGAGGCAAAGGCAAGACCCTGGTGTTTAAGAGCCCTTAATGACCTCATTAAGCCTACACAAAATGAAGTAAACTCCAAGAAAACCTAGGAGAGGGCCCAACATCCGCAACATCCAGGAGCAAGGAGGTCTAAATCTCCTTTGCTTGCTTTGAATCTGCCTCCCACTCTTTAGGGTCAGGTCTGGTCCTTAATGATCAGACTGGATGGCACACTTGCTGCATGGCTTTACAGCAGCGTACATCACTTTTAAAATTCCTAGGCAGGATAGTCCTACGTCATTCTAGCACAGCAGTCATCCCTCCTCTTTGGTACTTGGTTTGCTCTGCATCTTTCCAGTTGGGCTGCATGTTTTTTGAACTTAATTAAGCTCCTTTGTCCCCATGCCAGCATTTTCCTGTGCCTTAAATAGCTCTGCCTCCCTTTAGTTATTTTGGACCAAAGACCTATGGTGCCATGAGACCTTTGGAGGAGAAGGATGCATGGAGGGAGGAACCAGGGGCTGCTGAAGATTAGAAGGTGAGAACAGAGGAGATCCATGGCTGGCACAAGACAGTCCATCTCCATGGCTGCCCAGTAGCTTACAGCAGCTGAGCCCCAGTTTACCCTTTTCAAAGGGCTGCGAAGCAATTTTTTCAGTGTCTTGATCTTTGGAGCAAAAATTAAAATGGAAAAATTCCATTTAATCATAAGAAAAAGTTTGGGTTTTTTTTATGGTGAGGGTGGCAAAACACCACATCTTTTTGTCCGTAGTGTTAGTGGATTCTCTAGCTTTAGAGATATTGAAAACCTGATGGGACAATGTCCTAAGCAACCTGCTCTAGTTTACCTTGCTTTGAGCAGTGGGTTTGGACTAGATGATCTTTGGATGTTCCTTCCAACCTCAGCTGTTTCATGATTCTGTGACATCTCTGTTCGGTGGGAACGCTGCCTGTCTTTCTGTCCTAATTGTATTCCTCAGCAGTCATTTTCCTGAGGCACTGTGCAAACTTTATTTTTTCTTTTAAAGATGGAAGTGGAACAGGTTTCCCCCTTTAATGTGAATGCCTATGCTGAGCAGAGGCATTTCCAGATCCCGCCCATGATGTGCTTCAATGCAGGAGGAGTGCGCGAGTCATTGGGCCACAGAAAGTCTCTGCGGGTGGAAGTGAAGCCTTGCAGGATCTTCCTGAAGGATCCAGTCCTTGTTTTGCAACATAACTTTTTTTTTTTTTAGGCACTGAATGTTTTGGGTTAAATGCAGGAATTTGCTGGGCATGGAACTCAAGTCTCTCCTGTTCTAGGAGTATGTCCAGGACACTTGGTTCCAGAACATTCGTATATGTTCTATCTTTTGTTCATTGAAATCTGAATCTTTGAAACATGTAGACATGATTTTGACAAAAGATTCATACTTCCTCCCAATTTCTGTTCCCAGCATAAAATGGAGGCTAGCCCATCTCCTCGTCTCATGAGTTCAAGTCGCAATATGTCCATCCTTTCCTGCTCATAGCTGTAGGGCATCTTCCCCAAGAGGTTCTCTTTGCATTTCTCTTAGGTTGTGAATAAATATGGTGCCACTGAAATTTTCTGTTTTCTAACTTTAAGTTTCAGTTACTTTTTGTGGTTTATTTCTCGTGGAATTCAGGGCAAATGTCCACCAACCTCCTTCTCATTTTTTACCAATTACAGGTGAAATAATGAACTTTGAAAAAGGGGGTATATTCATATTTATGTTGTTAGCATTTTGTCTTCCTCTGACTAGTTCAAATAAATAATTCAGAATATGAAGTGCGTTTGAGTTAAAAGACACTTGGAGGTTAGACTATTCAGCAGTTAATGATCAGACTGGATGGCACACTTGCTGCATGGCTTTACAGCAGCGTACATCACTTTTAAAATTCCTAGGCAGGATAGTCCTACGTCATTCTAGTACAGCAGTCATCCCTCCTCTTTGGTACTTGGTTTGCTCTGCATCTTTCCAGTTGGGCTGTATGTTTTTTGAACTTAATTAAGCTCCTTTGTCCCCATGCCAGCATTTTCCTGTGCCTTAAATAGCTCTGCCTCCCTTTAGTTATTTTGGACCAAAGACCTATGGTGCCATGAGACCTTTGGAGGAGAAGGATGCATGGAGGGAGGAACCAGGGGCTGCTGAAGATTAGAAGGTGAGAACAGAGGAGATCCATGGCTGGCACAAGACAGTCCATCTCCATGGCTGCCCAGTAGCTTACAGCAGCTGAGCCCCAGTTTACCCTTTTCAAAGGGCTGCGAAGCAATTTTTTCAGTGTCTTGATCTTTGGAGCAAAAATTAAAATGGAAAAATTCCATTTAATCATAAGAAAAAGTTTGGGTTTTTTTTATGGTGAGGGTGGCAAAACACCACATCTTTTTGTCCGTAGTGTTAGTGGATTCTCTAGCTTTAGAGATATTGAAAACCTGATGGGACAATGTCCTAAGCAACCTGCTCTAGTTTACCTTGCTTTGAGCAGTGGGTTTGGACTAGATGATCTTTGGATGTTCCTTCCAACCTCAGCTGTTTCATGATTCTGTGACATCTCTGTTCGGTGGGAACGCTGCCTGTCTTTCTGTCCTAATTGTATTCCTCAGCAGTCATTTTCCTGAGGCACTGTGCAAACTTTATTTTTTCTTTTAAAGATGGAAGTGGAACAGGTTTCCCCCTTTAATGTGAATGCCTATGCTGAGCAGAGGCATTTCCAGATCCCGCCCATGATGTGCTTCAATGCAGGAGGAGTGCGCGAGTCATTGGGCCACAGAAAGTCTCTGCGGGTGGAAGTGAAGCCTTGCAGGATCTTCCTGAAGGATCCAGTCCTTGTTTTGCAACATAACTTTTTTTTTTTTTAGGCACTGAATGTTTTGGGTTAAATGCAGGAATTTGCTGGGCATGGAACTCAAGTCTCTCCTGTTCTAGGAGTATGTCCAGGACACTTGGTTCCAGAACATTCGTATATGTTCTATCTTTTGTTCATTGAAATCTGAATCTTCGAAACATGTAGACATGATTTTGACAAAAGATTCATACTTCCTCCCAATTTCTGTTCCCAGCATAAAATGGAGGCTAGCCCATCTCCTCGTCTCATGAGTTCAAGTCGCAATATGTCCATCCTTTCCTGCTCATAGCTGTAGGGCATCTTCCCCAAGAGGTTCTCTTTGCATTTCTCTTAGGTTGTGAATAAATATGGTGCCACTGAAATTTTCTGTTTTCTAACTTTAAGTTTCAGTTACTTTTTGTGGTTTATTTCTCGTGGAATTCAGGGCAAATGTCCACCAACCTCCTTCTCATTTTTTACCAATTACAGGTGAAATAATGAACTTTGAAAAAGGGGGTATATTCATATTTATGTTGTTAGCATTTTGTCTTCCTCTGACTAGTTCAAATAAATAATTCAGAATATGAAGCAGGAACTCTGAAACACATTTTTAGGTCAAGGATCTAACCTTTGTTTGCTGTGAACTCCACTTGGACATGGAATTCCTCTTCAGCAGGGCTTCTTGTATCTATTTATTAAAAAAAAATATCAGTGAATACAGCAATTATGTTAAAGTTCCAGAATACATAATAAATAGTTTGAATTCTTACCTTCTTGTCCCAGAGAGTTGCAAACACCAAAATGAATAATCCCTAGGAGACAGATACAAACAGACATGCAGTTTGATGACAGCAACCTTTTAATTGCAGTACCTCATAATTATCTCAAACATTGCCCATGCTGACTATTTAAACTCTTGAACTCTTTGATAGAGGGCATTTTTTTAATTGCATCTCACATAATGGATTGCTCATGTGGTAGGAGTTCTTCAGGCCTGGCCTACTTAAACTGTGTGTATAGCTGGTCTACAAAAGTGACACAGTTTGCTATCACTGAACATATTTGGAAGAAGGGACCTATGTGTACAGAAGACATAGAATCATAGAATCACAGAATCGTTCAGGTTGGAAAAGACCTTTAAGATCATCAAGTCCAACTGTTAACCTAACATTGCCATCATGCCCTGTTTATGGTCCCCAGATAAGCTAGCAGGCTCACAATATAAAAGGCAGGTGAGTTTGGTCTGAAGCATACAATTTTGAGGCCATTCTTAAGAGACAGAGTATACATAACTGTTGTGTCCTTAAGAAATCCTGTTGTATTGGGATACTACTGGCCACCTAAATACGTTGTAAAAATCGTACTAAGTGAAAACTCTCAGTCATGTGTGCCTTGGTCAGCTCTTCTCTTTATTATTAGTACTACTCAGCTGTTCTTGGTGACTTTTATGTTGTTTATACCCCCCATTACTTGAACCCACAAGAGCATACATGATGCCTCCAGATGCACTGTAAATGAGACCAGACATGATGAAGCTTGCCCACCTGAACATAATAGGGCTATTTTCCTGATCTTCATGAATGAAGTTCTTCCCCAAGCTACTGGAAAAGTTGGAAGTTATCTTTATTCCATCTTTATCTATAAGGCACATCTGTTAAGGCAGCTCAGAATGTGAAATACTGCTGATTTCCTGGAACAGGTCTCCCAAAGAGCCCTTCGGGAGTAAGGATTTGTAAGGCAACCCTAAGCTTTCCCAAGCTGGTTTTATTCCCTCTCCATGCACACCACTACAAGAACGTCACTACATGTTAAATGGTCAAAGAGGAAACAGAACCATACATATGTGTAACTCACCTGCAAAGCATTGAGCAGAGAAAAGAGGATGTGGAAAGCTCGACTGTTGTTTTTGACAACAGTGGCAAGGCCAAATCCCCAGGTGAGGCCTAACAGTGGTGTCAGGATGGCCACACTTTTGCCAATTTGAAACAAAGAGTTCTTCTCTTGCCTGTTTGACCTATCCCCAATAGTTGGCCTCAGTATTTTTATTATAACAACTGTGGTGATGAACAAATTCATGGCCACAATGATCAGGGCAGGTATGATGAAGGCCAAGACAGCTTTGCTGTCCTTCCAGTTGAGCCAGCAGACACCCGTTCTGATGTAACTGTTCCTTGGCTGTGTGACAGCGATGGTGATGACTGCAATGAGAAAGGGGCACCCATATCCCAGGCAGAACGACACTACTTTCTGAGTCGTCTTGCTTGTGTTATGTAAGATGAACACCAGTCTGTAGAAAAGAATGAGGCCCAGGCTGAGCATCCAGAAAAAGACACACAGGTAGAATAAATGGATGAAGAAGGTGGCCACAAAACAGGTATCTTTGCTCATTTGGTCATTGAGGGCGGCAGTGACAATGAACCAAATGTCAGCAATCAGGAGTGATGTAGCTATGTTGAGCATACAGACATGGCGCATATAGGAGGTTGTGTTGTTTGTCACGTATTTCCAGACTAAGGATTCAATTATAATGCAGGCCACCAAACTCAAGATTGAAATGGCCAGGCCAATGTAGGTAATATAATCTTCAATTTCTGACTGGGGAGATTGATCACCTGACATCAGAATGGAGAACGATGTCAAGTGATTGCAAGTGCAAATGACATAATCTTCTTCCTCTGTGGATGTGCAACCGTGACCATCCCAGCCCCCGTTAAGTTCGTTGAGTGTGAAGTTCCAAAAGACACACCGATTCTTTGGAGATGAGTTTTTCTTCGCAAAGGTCATATTAACGTCGAACTTCTGTCTGCTGCTGTTGCTTTGCACAGTTGTTGTTATCAGTAAGCCGTTCACACTCTCAGGCTCATTCAGGGATAAAATACGTCCAAAGCTTGAGTACATCACACTGACAATGACTGAATTATGGGTTAGAGTCTGAATTTCAGTTTCACCAATATAGACGTTAACTGTGAGGTTTTCTGTACTGACGAAGTTCTTATTATAATCTGTGTTATTTTTTGTGACTAAACCTTGTAGCTGAAGGGTGCTTGCAGAGACAGGAGGAATGGTATTATTAACTGGTTGGAGGTGCAGGCAAAACTTTTCTACCGATTGCAGTAACGAAGACCTGATGCTTATATTCTTTTCAGTCAGGGTTTCCCAAACTGCAGTTGTGGAATTAGCAACAATCATGTCCACTATGCAGAGGAAATTCTGGAACAACAACAGAACAAAGCTGTTACTGAAATCCCACACAAATCACTGTTGTTTCTGATGGCAATTTCTTCGTGGTCCTAAAATTGCCTTTTGAAAAAGCTCAGCATTTTCTTATTTTGCTTGGTCCATGTGAAACCTTCAGCTGTTAACCCTCCACATGCTCTATTTTCAAGTTAAGCTTTCCAAAAGTGGAGCTGCATGTTTGTTTTTTTTTTTACATATTACTTAGATTTTTTTCTTTTCCAGCCTTCTTTCCCTTCTTTTTCAGCCTATGTTCTACCTTTGATTTCTCACTCTCTCTCATGTAGTGTTCTCCAGCTACAAAACATCAAGTCTCTTTGCACTTTTGTGCTCAGAAGACCAGTGCTTTTCCCTGTACCTCACAATCAAGTTCCAAGAATTTCTAAGATGTGTTTTGCCATTCATTTGTGGTAACATATAATTGATTTTCCTTGTTTGATCTCTATCCTTATTTCAGCAATTCTTTCTATTTCTGCTCCTACTCATAGAATCATAGAATCACGGAATGGTTTTGATCTTTAAAGATCATCTAGTCCAACCCCCCTGCCATTGTCAGGGACATCTAACCTTACCCTGAACACATCCAATGACGAAGCAATCCTGGGCAACCTGTTCCAGTGTCTCACACCCTCACTGTAAAAAAATTCTTCCTTATGTCCAATCTAAATCTACCCTCTTTCAGTATAAAACTATTTCCTCTTGTCCTGTCACTGCAGGCTCTGGTAAAAAAGTCCTTATCTGTCTTTCTTATAAGTCTCCTTTAAGTACTGAAAGGCCACAATCAGGCCTCCCTGGAGCCTTCTCTTCTCCAGGCTGAACAACCCCAACTCTCTTAGCCTGTCCTCCTAGGAGAGGTGCTCTCACCATTTTCATGGCCCTCCTCGAGACCTGCTCCAACAAGTCCACATGTGTCCTGTGCTGGGGACTCCAAAGCTGGATGCAGTACTCCAGGTAAGGTCTCACCAGAGCAGAGTAGGGCAGGAGAATCACCTCCATTGACCTGCTGGCCATGCTTCTTGTCATGCAGCCCAGGATACAATTGGCTTTCTAGGTTGCAAGTGCACATTACTGGCTCATGTCCCATTTTTCATCCATCATTCCTTGTCCTTTCCTCTAACTTAGAATGCTAGAGACATTTATGGGTTCCTAGAAGATTTCTAGTTTCTAGTTTTCTAAGCATACAGCAGCCTCTCCTTCATGCATAGGCTCCTTGTCCTCATCTTTTTGACTTTTCATAAATTCTTCTCTATCTTTGCTGTCATTTCATCTTTGCCATCATTTCATCTCATTCCCTTAATACTTTCGTGTTCCTGACCCTATCTACCTGTGAAATTTCTTCAGGGAGAATGTCATCCTCCATGACAAAAGGAGCCAAAGGGCTTGATAAGTATAGGTAAGACTTAAAATATAACCTTACTTCAATATTGGTCTCCGTTGCATTTGCTGGGATAGGGGAGATCTTGTCCAGGATGACAACAACTGTGCCTAGGTCTGCAGAAGAAATGTTTCTTGTAGTTTGCTCCTGTCTTACTGTGTTCTTAAGCTCTTCAAGGTATTTAGGTAGGTTTGCTCTTGGCTCAGGACTTCTGACCAAGGACTGGAACAGGAGACAACAGTACATCACATGTGTGCAATTTGCCTGGAGCTTGATCTCCCTCCGCAATGGCCACCCCTATACTAGTGAACTGGTAGTGTTCAACCCTCTGACTGTCCAGAACAAGGTATCCTAACTGCCTGTTGGGAGTGGTCTCTTGTCAGTGCTAACTCACAGACTGCTCCTGGAAATTTCAGGGGAGAAAATAGTTGGCCTGGGTCCAAACCACATGAGGGAGCAATCTAGCAAGTTAAGAAAATACACAGTTGAGTAGCTGTACCTCTGCTTGGGACCTTGTTGTGACTAATTTACTGAAATAAGCATAGTAAGTATGTGATGAAAGAAAGATAATTGTTCTCTTCTAACCTCACAGAGGGAAGGGTGACTCTGGATGGTTTGCAGAAGTGAAGAGCACTATGATGGGGTACCTAGGCTGAAAACCAAGGCCCAGCAGCCATCAGTGAAGTGCAGTGGCTTTGGGGGCATACTAAATAGGGCCTGGGTCTGAGCTTTGGGCAGTGGCCCAGAGGTGTCCCTGCTGCATCGCTGTTAGTGTACCCTGTAGCATGCTTTGGGCTTGTGCCAGCTGGCATTCCCGAGGCAATGCCTGAGCACGGTTCAGAGAACACCCCAGGCCAGTGGCTGCTCCCACCAGATGCTGTGAATAAGGGCACCTTTGGGGGAGAGAGCGTTCATGTGTATGGATGTTAGCCATGCAGTGCCACGTGCGCTCTGGGACAGAGAAGGGGACCTAGCCTCTTGCGCTGACTTGTGTAGAAGTAGCCAATCATTCTTTATATCTTTTAAAAGGCAGTTTTAATTAAATATTTGATTTTATAATGCTTCATATATTTTAGGTTATGTTAAGCAGAAAACCACCCAACAAAAATTTTTACTCTCTCTCCTTACCACCTCCACCCCTCTCCCCACCCCAACCTCTAGAAAACTCATAAATGTCACCTCGGCTTCAGTCAGCACGTTGTTTATTGCTACAGAAAGGCACTCGTCTGCTTTAAGCTTCCATGATTTGTTGGAGCACGTGTACGTTTTCCTGCCTTGGGTAAAACCGTATGGATCATTTAAGTTGTAGCACGGCTTTATTAATGTGGATCCTTCTATTCCACTGCCAAGATTGTCTGAGCAAGAAACTTTGTTACCTGTATTGAAAAAAAAACCATAGAGGTAGAAAACTAAGAAGGAGGGAGATGAATAATTTACCCCCATCAAATCTGTGACCTCCTGAAGTTCAGAGGTCTTTAAATTAGTTAGGATTTCAGCTTGCTGTCTTCTTTAATGATGACCTTTCAGGGCGACCTCTCTTGCATTTCCAATTTTTTGGAGTAATGAAATTAAGAGGAAAATCAAATAAAGTGCCTGGATTTGGGTACTGAATTAAATCAACAAACCAATTCCCAAGTTTTAGGATTTGTCTGTTAGATTACAGGGTTAGACAGGGCTGGAGTGGGATTGTATCGACCACTATGTGAACAGCAATTCACACAGAGTTTATTCTGCTAAGGGACTCAGTGCTGCTGTAGCAGTAATAGGAAATTCGTTAAGACCTTGATAGTGAGGTCTCAACACCTTTTAGATGAACAGTGACTCTTGCTAATTGGCTTTGATTGGATTAGTTGAATCAGTAAATATCTCCCGATTAAAGTAAATAACTTGTCTGCGTATTTATTGCCTAAGAGAGTGAAATCTGGTCAGCTACAGTGATTCAACAGTAGGCACCACTACTGTCGAAAACCCAAAATTTTCTGCATTATGGGGGTGTCCAACATTTCTTTCTTTCCAGTTTAGAATAAGAAGCTGAAATATCCAAACTCTGGTCAGAACTGAACATCAAAACTGGATTTAGCAATGTTGAATCCTAATTACCCAGAATTTTCTGCAGAGCTGACTGGAAGCTGGGGCTGCCCAGGTACCCTGCAATACCTCACAGAGGTTGCCATCCTTGTGTTTAAAGTGGATAAGCCCTCCCACAGGCTGACCTCCTGAGCTAGACGACTTCTTCCTGAGGCACCACAGTCTTTTATCCTTGCTAACTTGTTGGTGCAAGCTGGGAGCTGCATGACCACACCTCAACACAGGAGATGAAGCTTGGTGGTGCAGGCTGCACCAGAAGGAAGGCAGGGACAGAAGATGACTGAACTATAACTGCTTGGGAACATACTGGAGCCACTGTCAAAAACAGTGAAGATAAAGTATCTATCTTGTCTATTTATTTTTTTAATATTACAGCAAAATTTATATTTTCCTCTGTATTTCAAAAATTCCCGTCAAAAAAGGAGACAAAAGTTCTTGGCTAACAAAACTGCTCCTGTTAGGTGTCACCAGCGATAGATTTGTGGCATCTGGTTTAACAATGATACTGGGATTTCCTATTTAACAGCTTGAAATTGTAACTTTTTTTCTTACCGTCTATCAGGTTCAGTCTTATAAATTCACTTTCAACTCCCTGTTCAATGTGGTTAAAAAACTTGCAGGATGCTGTGAGATTTTCTTTGCTGCAATCGCTTTCCATGTAATTGTACGTGTAGCAAGACAAATTTCCTCTTACCTCTTTCTCTGTATGGAAGGATTAAGATAGATTAACACAGATTTGGGGTTAATCAGATAGCAGACAGCAGAAAGCTTCTACAAAACTTTATTTTCTGTGGGTCCTAGAGAAAAAAACCACCTTCCTTTGTGGAAAAAATTCCTTTCTGTATGCTGATCTCTATCTCTTGCTCCCCAATTAATAAATCTGGCAGCTGCTGTATGATCAGTACCTTTTCAACTACTGGTACGTGAGCAAATATTGCCCAAACCCTCTTTTACTGGGCAGAAACCAAAATTTGCTTTAGAAACCATTTTGGAGAATGCTCTTCCTCTGCTGCTGCTTTTACCACAGGTGTTTCATTTAGGCCAGGAGACTTCCTTGCTGTTCTTATACAGTTCTTTGGAACTCAGCGTCTCTGCCGCACTCCCGTTGCTTTTCAGGATGCCTGTGCCTGCAGGTCCCTGACTGCAACCTCTTCCAATGAGGTCTTGGCATTTTTCTCAGCAACCAAAGGACACACCCCCCCCC